TCAGAAACAAGGGAGGTTCATTCGCAGCCAGATCAGAAACTGGACAGGTTCGTTCTCAGCAAGGTCAGAAACTGGACAGGTTCGTTCTCAGCAAGGTCAGAAACTGGACAGGTTCGTTCTCAGCAAGATCAGAAACTGGACAGGTTCGTTCTCAGCAAGATCAGAAACTGGACAGGTTCGTTCTCAGCAAGATCAGAAACTGGACAGGTTCATCTGCGAGAACCATCATGGCAGGTGGGATCACTGGGATGTTTCAGGAAGTGGCTTAATCCAAATATGTCGTCAATAAGACACATGTGGAGATGTGTACGGTACGCTTTCTTGTGCTCTCAATCTCCTTTGGATGTTTTTCTTCCTTGCTAGTGTTGTAGATTATACTTGGACCACTCTACTGTCATACAGTTCTGGTGAAATATACAATACTAGCATGATAGACCCAAAAAACATGAACAAAGTTCACAGGGGGGATAAATACGCTGATTCTGGCTTGATCAGTACTAACTGCCTCCACTGTTAGACTGAACAAATCAAGTCCAGCTGAGTGTCACCTATACTTCAGTTCTCACCTTCCAAGCGGACTGACAGCAAAAAGGAAAGAAACAACTGCAATCTGCTTGCAACTGGTGAAATTAGCCACTGTAAAAAAAAATCACAGCAGTTGTGACTTCCTAAGACTGGCCGTATATCATACTGATAAGCTCAGGGAATTGTGAAGCCTGTGATGGCCCACTTAAACTACTGTACAAAATCAATGAGGACAGGAAACAGGGGCCATGACATACACCGTGCACAGCAGCTGGCTTCACAATGTGACATTTCCTGTTTTTGACAACTGTATTTCCTCTGTTTAAAACAATAAAAAAAACAGATCCACCTTAAGTTTCTATTCTTTAAACATGCCAGTCTATATGCACCAGTGGCATTTTATTTTTGCTAACAATTCACTGTACTCAATTTCTTTAACTGTTCTATTTTAATCATTTTATTAAATGCTGTCTTGTGCATTATTATTTTTTCATGATTTATTTAGGCATTTGGGCTACTGTCTTGTAGTTGTTGATACAAAATTAATTTGGGGATGAAACTGTTTTTATTCTGCTTCAAGCAGAATAGCTTAAAAATGTTGCTATTCACTATTGATTCTATCCTATTTTACACTCTGTCTCATTCCTTCATACTCTTCTTTTCTGAAATCATAAAACCTTGTTTTGGACTCTTCACAGTTTCAAAACATATATGTTTGCAAACACTGGATGAACACAAGTAGTGTCTCTACATTTCAGTTTCAGTGAAATGGCCTTTTGGGTTTTCCACAATCTAAGTGAGGTAAATTAAAATCTCCCACAATAACAACTTCATCCCTATTCCACTGTGTAACACGATTGATATTTGAATTTGATTGTCTGCAGCATACTCCTCACACTATTCCTTTTGGGTTAATATGTGTTTAACCCAGTGTGCATGATTTATTATTCTTTAAACCACAGCTGTGCCAGAGATCAAAGAAACTCAGGTGCCTCTAATTACACCCACTGTTCAGGTATATTTTTGGCATATCTTTACAATTTGGGGGTTATATTTTTTAATCATTGATTATTTTTCTATTTTCGTAACCCTGTATTTGTAACACTGTGATAATACTGGACCACCTTTTCATCAAGCTTTTCCTCTTCTTAACAAGAGTTACACTAGAAAGACCCCTCCTGAAAAGTAATTTCCAGTCACTTTCCCTTGATTTCCATGTTTAAATACGTAGATTGACAACAAAAATCTTAAAGCCCTTTACTAATACATCTCTTCCTTCTCCTTTGGCACATGATTGATGTACACCCCCATCTTTGTCATAATCATTATGACTGTTTATTTGGCTCCTTCTTTTACCCAAAGTGACTCACATTTATACAGCGGGGTGTTTTACTGAAGCAATCTGAGGGAAAAGGTACAACAGCAGTCAACTACTTTACGCCTCTTCCTGTGCTGCTTCCACATCTTTTTAACACAAGGGGGAAAAAAGTCCAAAAGTCCAAGTTTGTGTTCTAGTTGGGCTGGGGGTTTGGGGGTTATACCAAGCCCCAAAAAACAGTTCCACTTAAAGTCTGGAAGTAAAATTAGGAAACCCTGCTGAACCACATCTCTTTCCCAGAAACATGCAATCTAACCAAGCCTCCCTAGTCCTCAGCAATTCTCCATGAAAACACAGCAACAGAGAAACATCCAAAATAGGACCTTTTTAAAGGCTAGGGTAGGAAAAAAATCCGCCTTATGGTTCCGTACACAGATGCTTCTGATTTTCCTGGAGAAAGCTGTCAACGGAATTACACTTGTTTTGCACTACGTTATTGGCGTCATACAGATTGTTAGAGCTCTGAGTGACAAACGGCTCCTACGCCAAAGCTGACATCTGGTGCACAGCTGCTGAAAATGTTCCAGAAAAAGAATTCCAGGGCTGGCAGGCAGTCAGCATAGTTAAGTGATCTTCCAAACTCCACCAAGTCTAATTCCGGACACTCAAATTATATAGGAGGTGAATTACGAAACTAGATGTTCTTACCCACACTTCACTTTTGGATAAAGAGCACATTCTTATACGGACTTTTGAAGTCCGATTTGAACTGTAATGGGCAGACTTCAATTCTGTGCATTTTCCCGACAGAGGAGGCTCGCAGAGATGCATGTTTCCTTTTTTAACGCTGACATCCAAAACCGAACACTAAGACCGCTGCAGGTCTGTCTGGCACTTAATGTTTTGTACATATGAGGAGTTAGTGGAAAGCAGGGTGGAACCAAGAAAATCTACAGGCAGCCCCGAATCGCGCTGTATGCTCCCATATGTGCTATGTTATTGAAATTCCCTCTATAAAGTAAATTCCCCCTATGAGAATCATCGAATAGCAAGAAAAACAGCAAACAGGACAGAGAAGACAAGCATAAGAGCATAATTTCTGCTCAATGCAACGAGCTGAGCTGTAGTTGAAATGTGCCTGATTTACGATCACGTTGTAGATTGTTCCCAAAGTGCAAGACACGGTAATAACAGAAATACGAATTACTCCACAGGATAGAGTGAAAGCTCAGTAAGATCTCTTTGACCAAAAGTGTTTGTGAGCCGGGCAGAGGAGAGAGGGGATGGGGATCTTAAGTCCCATCCTTCAGGCAGAACCTGTAATAGCAGTGGCACGGAAAGAGAAGAGACCACAACCCAGCGTAGTGAAAAGGAGGAAAGCTAATTTTTTAAGCAGTCCTGACTCTGAGACCAGTGTTGGAAAGAGGTTAAAATTAACTGAGGGTTGAGCTTCCAAGAGTTTTAAAGGGCATGCAATGGTATCGTCTTATGCCTACGGAACCAAGTACAGTAATAGTACTCACTGGCCAAAATATTAGAAGCACCTACTGCTTGACATGGTGGGACAGCTTGAATAAGATATGGCGGTATGTGTTCTGAAATTCGCACAGTCCAAACCATTAGGGTCCAATTCGTCATGCAGTACTGTTTCCGACCGAAGCTGTGATACGATTAATGGTGTCTTGTGCTCCTTAAGATATCCACACTAGAAATGTACTGGCATTCTAATATTTGGACCGGAATATTTAGCCCAGGGGTATTTCTAATATTTTGGACAGTGAGTGTATTCATGTCTTTTATACTATAAAATAGTTTCTGTAACAAAGCCTTGGTCTGTTTCTAAGGACTTTGGAAAAACACAATCTGCACCACATTATGCTAAAGATGAATTTAAGCAACGACGTCTAAGTAGAAGCAATTGCACATAGTCATTAGCATTTAACATATTGCACATTCTTTCATTCCTATTTCAGCTTTGATAGAAGAAAAACAAAATCACAGAGGATTAAATTTAACCCTGATGTGCAATCCATAGTAACCCCAGGCTTAAACCTGTTGTAGGAACGTTTTACACAATGTACAGAAAGAAACTGTAAAAAAATCAAGTTAAAACATAGGTTACTTAACTATATGTGACTTTTAACTTCCAGAAAGCAGCAATTCCTGTAAATGCATGTGGAGTTTTCAAAGTGATGCATGTACATCATCAGGAAGGCCAAGTTCCTGAGACTAGACTAAACTGAAATGTACTGTACTGTATAAATTATTCCAGCTGTGCACCAATTCTTGTCTGAACAGTTACCTCTTTCGTGCTGTAAACCAGTTATACCCCAGCTCTCTTGTGCTGGGCCAATGTACGTACACACCATAACTGAAATTCATTACTTTGGACAATAGTGATTTACTACTACAGAAGTTATGTGTCTCTGAAGATGAGACTTCAAGGTATCTTCTCAGAATAATCTACTCTCTCTGCCACAGGACCACAAGATGCACAGTTATCAAAACGAGACATTTCCAAACTGATTTCTGCTGGCTATTCCTTAACATATTAAAACTGCACATGTTGACAAAGCTCCCCTACAAAACATTTGACCTCTTCCTTAGGAAGCCTGAGACGGAATTGCTTTTGTTGGGTGAGAATTATAATAGTCTGTTAAATCTTTATGAATTTGCAACCTAAAAATCAGTACTTTCATAATTGCTTCCTGCACATGGACATAGCAACAAAGTGTCCACTGTTTTAAAATATTACTCCAGAATATGTAAGAAGGAGAAGGTTTGGTTCAATTTTGGACATTTCTCCTATGAATCATAATACTGTATATGTATACATTGAAATGTCTGTTAAATTAATATAAACTGACAATTTTTCTAGATTTTTGTTTTCATTTGTTGCAAAAGACTGCATATTTGCTTGCAGACCATTTACTTTTAGTAAGATAGGGTATCTAATTAAATTATGTACAGATTTTTGTGAGAAATTGGCAAATTACTTCAGTTTTTCCCCCATCAACATCACCGATGTAAAAAGTGATATCTGGAAAATTGGATTCCACTGCTTTTTCAGCCAAATCCTCAACACCTGCCCCTGCTCGACACCTCTGAATAGCTGGCATGTTTAAAATGACTTTAACTCTACACTACTTGCCACATCATGGGTCAGAGAACTCTGAACACCCAAGTGTTTTTTTTTCACAACGGCAGTGTAAGCTTACACGCCTGAGAGGTGTATTCAAATTTATTTTGACCCTAATATTTGACCAGAAAATACCTAATAAAATATATAACATAATGAGGACATCAAACTTCAAATAATCCTCCGCCAGTGCATCATTGGCTCAACTGGATGGTTACGTACTGTGTAACACATTAAATTACTATTGCTGCCCTTGGGTTCCAGGTACCTACAGTATGATCCTAATTTGTGTGTGCACTAAATTACAGTGTGCAAGAAAGTGCTCCCAGGACAGCCACATTGTCCAGAACCTTGTACTTCTGCTCACAGACCTTTTCTATATTTCGTGCATGAGGACATGTATGTCCAACATTTAACTGCCTTAAGGTTTTAGGATACTCAACAGTCCAAAAGAATCTATTTTTTAAAATGTCATGTGTGGCCGACCAAACATGGCTTTGTTTCACCAGCAACTATCTGAGTGCATCCTGGAACTGTATAACCATAAAGCTCAATCATGAGGTCGACAATTCTCCAGCCAACTGCTGTAATTAACAAAGACGTTCTGAAGACTTCATATACTGCTCGTTCACAATACTGATGCCAAGTACTCCACAAACAAAGCCACAAAAAGAGGAACAACAGAAAATAAAACGTGTTTATGCTCCTTAATCACTTAAACGTCTGACCAATTTAAATTTTGTGATGTCCTAAAAATCATAACAATGCAATAAACACAATCATTGACATTGTTTTGTGTTATATGACGTTTTGCTTGGCAAGAACGGCAGCAATGACAAATTGCTCTCGTTTTGATTTTTGCTTTTAACAAAATTTTCCTTTTTAAAGAAGTGCAGCAAATTTAGCATAATAGAGAAGGCTTCAGGAGTGAAAGGCCCTGTATAATAAGAAAACAAAACGGAAATATAACAATGTGCTCACTGGGCAAGAGAAATTGGTTGTGTGGGAGGAACCTATCTGCACTATTCCTTTATTTAAAAAAAAAAGCAGCACATATTTACTGCAAGTGACAGAAAAAGCTACAGAAGCTAAAATACAACGCAGTTAGGGCAAATCATAAATAAAAGCAGATTTTAAATTTTAAGAATAATATTATATATTTAATTCTTCCAGAATAGCAGATCTTTAAATTCAAACTTTTGTTTCAATGTAGTGAAAAGCAAAGTGTGATAAAAGCACTAAAGCAAAGCAGGGTCCACTCTGGATGGGACACACACAGCCCATCGCAGGACACACACAGACACAGATACACACACTCACACCAGGACCACTTCTCCCAGAAGCCAACTCAGCTACCAGTCTGTCTTTGAGACTGTGGGCGCAAACAGTAGCATGCAAACACAGGGAGAACACACCAAGTTCACACAAAAAACCACCGAGGTCCCAAATTCAACCCAGGGCCCCAGCACAGTGAGGCAGCAAAGCAGAAATATCCATTCAGGCCTTACCTCCGATGGCATTGCAGCGAGAGGTCATCTCCCACAGGACAAGAGCCATTGAGTAGACGTCTGTCTGTTTAAAAGACTCTATGTTTTCTAAATTTATCCTGGACTCCAGCACTTCTGGGGCCATATATCTGGCTGTGCCCACCTGTTGAATGAACACAACGATACCTTATTTAAAACATCGTTTTTAAGTGCAGGTTTTGCTCATCTCCAAATCGAATTGAAACATGAACAGTTGATTCTGTTTGGGCTCGGATCATACCTGGCAATCAAGGTGCTTTTGGAAAAGCTGGAAGCAGTATTTTACCGTACTGTACCTCTCCATTTAATACATAAAACAGATCTATTCTGGAGGAAAGTGTTTCAAAGCAACATTTAAATGTGTGCAAATTTAAAATGCATAGTCTGAGCATCAAACAGACACAGTAGTGAAAGCTGATTTGTCTTTGGTAGATATCTTTCAGCTGATCGATGAGGAAACAGGTCTTTGTGGCGATATCCTCAGGGCTGTAACTTGGTTGACTCCATTTACTGTACGTGTTTATTTAGGTATGTATTCTAAGGATAGTACTATTAAATGTCACCACAGCAGGTTCATTTTTCTTGTTTGAGAAAATATTACCACTACACCTAATGAGCGCCTCAAAGGTTTTTATTTGCGGAAGATACAGAGCTGTGTGGGCAGAGCTGTGGGATTCCGATGCCGGATGCCACTTACATCAGACCCAGGGAAATCACTGCCGAGTCAGCTCAAAAACAAAAGGTGCTTTTTTTTTACCATCACATGAGCTGGAGATGCACGGCATGACAGGGACACCCCTGCCTGCTACACAGAGCGGGCGAGTTTCGGTGTGTTAGGAGGGCTGTTTCTGTGGACAGAAGCAGTACTGAAACGCCTAGCCTAGCCACTGACTACGAACGCAGAATAAATACTAAGACTTCAGGTTCACATGGTCGATGTGCGATGAGGTGAACCTTAGGGTTGTGGAAGTACAGACCAAGCTTTCCAGCCATGTTGCTGAAGCCCGAGCCCTGGATTTCTTTAAAGGGACAGCTGCCTCAGATCCTGGGATCAATTAGCTACTCTCACAACGAGCCAGATGTTCCAAACGCGCTCCTGTTGTTTTGTAAGCTTTCTCATGTTCTTATAATCCCTCTCTGGTGATAGCTAGATCCTCCAGCTTCTTCCAGACTTTTTTAAAACAAAGGCAAGCTGTTTCCACGTCAAATCTCTTGTACTTGACTTATCAGAACGGAGGCCCTCCGCCAGTTCATTTTCAGCCTGCCCTGTCCTGGTGTGGGCAGAGGCTCGTACGGAGCTTAAAATCAAAAACAACTTTGCTGTGTTAAAAGAGGGAGGTGGCAGATCGACTGTGGCGAGAGTGGTTTATTACATGGGAAGATAAGGTATCGACTCATAACCAAACTGTCCCATTGACGTATTTCAGACGACAATAACCTTTAGTCAGAAATGCCTGCTTACAGCAAGCCCTTGCTGTTCAGAATTGGAAGTTCAGCAGCTTGGATGAAAACCTGACTGACATATTGACTTAATGCTATCATGTGGTGACAGTTCACTCTGTTAGAAGTAATCATTATTTTTTATCCTATGTGGTAGCCTAAACTGCAGCATGATTCAGTGAATACCGTATTGCTTTTTATGTGGTTATGTAGCCATGTAATCTTTAAAAAACAATTTCAAAAAGGGTTCAGTAATGAAGAGCATTTAACTGGGTGCATAATTAAAGAGAGGCCTTGCTAATGATTGGTACTATGATGGGTGTTACTGTCAAGCATTTGGATTTATCAGACTGAAGGGATTATATTTGACTTTACAAGTATACCATAGAGAAGTTAAGATCTATACATATGACAAATGCATTAAAAAGTCTAGAAAAAAGAAAGTTTCACTCTTACTCAGGACCATCCTTGAAACCTGTTTTGTAACTGCTAGATTGCGCAAAATGAGTTAACATGCTTCAAAGCTACAGAGTACTCATTAACAGAATGCTGAGTGAACTAGTTTATGATGCATGTTTCAACAACATTATAAGTAACGATAAGCTAGTGTGTGCATGCAGAATACTACATAAGCTTTTTTAAAGACACGGTAACCAACAAATTAAATCCCTGTGGACACAGCCTGACCAACTTCAACGATTAGACTTCAAACTAATCAGCACCCAAACATATAATAACATATCGTATTTTGGTAAACTCAAAGTGTAAAACACTGCTAAAATAAGAAATGATCTCAGCCTTCTCCTCTTCATTGCGATAACACTCCTTTAAATACAGAACCAGTTTCAAACACAAATCAGTTTTCCGTCTCAGCATCACGTCATTCCAGATGTAAATGTGTATTTAATTTTCGAGCTCTGGAATTCTTCCAAGTCCTTGGGTATACGAAGTGCCTTGCTTCTAGCACCTGACGATACCTACTCGCACCCGTGCTAGAAGAAGAGGCCGCAGAACAGCCGAGCCGTCCGACGCAGTAAAACCTCACCTGTCCGCTGTTGGCCAGGTCGTCCACAGACAGCGAGGGGTCGAGCCTGAGGCCTAGGCCGAAGTCACAGAGGCAGCAGGTCAGGTCGTTCTTGACCAGGATGTTTGAGCTCTTCAAGTCTCTGTGGACAATGGGCACCTTCGGGCGGCCACATGGGGTGTGATCGCTGTGCAGGTGGGCCACCCCCCGGGCCAGGGATCCCCCCAGGAGCCAGAGGTCTTCCCAGCTGATGATGTGCCTGGTGAGGTACTCCTGCAGGTTCCCCTTGGGGTGGAAGGCGGTGATGAGCCAGTACTGTTTCTCAGCTTTGCGCTCCTCGGCGGTCAGGAAGTGCAGGACGTTCTCGTGCTTCAGGTTGATGTCGGAGAAGATGTCCTTCTCGTTCTTCCAGGAGGCGTACTCCTCGTCGGGGAAGATCTTCACGGCCACCGTCTCGAACTGCGCCGAGGCGTTCTGCTTCAGCTTGGCCCTGTAGACCTCGGCGAAGCGCCCCTTGCCCGCCTGCGTGTCCAGCTCGATGGGCAGCAGCTCGGTGTTGTGGTTGAGGTTGTTGGCGTGCGTGGAGCTGCTGTCCGAGCGGTCGTCGTCGATCATGATGGCGCAGGCTTCGCTGCAGTCCAGCGGTGGCATCTTGCGGGGCTTCGGCTTCTTGCCGTCCCACTTCTCGCCGAGGGCCCGGGACCGGCACACCCGGTACCAGTAGAAGACGGTGATGACCACAACGGTCAGGACCAGCAGCGGCACGAGAGTCACGAGGATGACCGTGAGCACCGAGTTCTCTGGGGTGGGGGGCTCCACTTCTGCGGGAGAGAGACAGATGGGAAACCATTTACCACCCAACTCTTTCACCTTTCACCTGTGCAGGCTTCTTGAGCAGCCCACTTGGTTAAGCCACTTACTCGTTAACCCGCTCTGTGAATGATACAGCACAGAACTGCCAGCTAAACGGCGATCGTAACGGATTTAAAAATAAAACAGCGCTATTTGGAAGTTGGTGTCAGTAAAGCCTCGAGGAATACCTCAGATTTCAAAGCTTTTTCGTCAGCTGACTCTGCTTGATAAGATGATAAGGAGAAAGTTATATTAAATACACTGGGCTACCTTTGTAAGCACAGCGCTTTTGTACTGCATTATGAAAACGTTCAAGTCAGAGGCATGTAAAACTGTGGTCTTTTTTAGTTCTTGGAGATTAATAATAGCTACAGGATGTTTACAGGCAAGACCCATTATGTGGGAAGTTATTTATTATGCAGTACCTCCCAGGAGTTCTGATTTTTGCTTGGCCTATCTTTTTTAGGAGAATATGTGAATAATATACCTTCAGGCTTACCATTGATAAGAAAATAATGAAGCTGAGAACAGACATTCTGTACTCATATCATGAACCGTGCAAAGCCTCATTATGGCAGTGCGAAATGAAAAATGTAAAAATGATTTTAATACAATAATGTTTGGCAAGAGAACCACTGGGGAACTGTAATTGTAAAACGGTAATAAAATATAATTTGAAACTACGTAGGTAGAGTCCAAAACAAAGGTTTATAGTGGAATGTAATAACAAAATATGTTGATTTGCCTACCAAACGGAATCCATTATTAACAAACATGAAGCAGAAACTGTTGACTCACACATTCTGCCAAGCATAAACAGCATTTTAAACATCACATTTAAACAATGAATTCACTTTTTTAAATGATCAAAAAAACCTGTAAAATAAAAGAACATGAAGCAAATTTTTGAAGGCTGGCAAAAGAACAGAATGTTACACAGCTCATAACAACGTGAGCAGAAACCGTTTATTGTGAAGGTGATGCCGTCTGCACACACGATTCAACAGTCAACACCATTTTGCTATAAACGCTTTATTACAATATTGAAGATCTGTCGAATGAAAAATCATAATAACGGCCTCTGAAACAGAGCCCTATCCGGAGCCCACAGAAACAGACCTCTTGCTCTGGAACAGGCACTGAGTCTGAACGTCTGGGAGAGCTGAACTAACACAACATCTGCTGAATGCCGAACCCCAGCGAAAAAACAAACAAACAACAGTTCCAGTATGACTTATTTTAGGGTTAATTATTAAAAGAGGACACTTCAGGGCACAAAGTAAGAAAGTGAGAAGCGACAGGAAGCAGGGACATGATTTTCACGGATCCCGATTTCCCAGTCGATCATCCGCCCCAGCTTGGGGCATCCAGGCAGCAGGGCCCCAGCGTGCTCCAGCTGGGGCCTGGGGTATCCTGTTGCACCGGAGCTGCCAGCTCTGCCTTAAAATACATCTTTATTTTTGTTCCTGAGATGAGTCAGGAAATCCTCTGATGTTAATAAATCTGACATTTATTTAGACCACAGTTCACTGCTATGGTTTGTTGTCAAGGAAGAAAAAGTTTAGATCGCCCCAAACGCCTATACTGCTCTGATTCACAAAGATATTTAAGGAGCATTATATAAATATAAACTGAATTCAAAATGTCTCCTGCATTTCATTGTTTAAATTATCTACTGCACTTGCAGATAATTGCAAATTGATTATGAATTCTTGTAGCCGACTGTAAATTGTAAATTTTACAATCAAATTCACTAGAATTTCTTCCAGGTGATTTCGGAAAGTAAGACTTTTTTTAAAGAAGATCCATATCATAATTGAACATGCTTCATGGCTATTCAACAACAACAAAAAATCTGTTAAATATGGATGACAGGTTTTTTCTGTGGACCAGTACAGTAAATTGGTCTTTCAGAAAATTGTGGAAAATTCATACAGATACTGTATGTAGGGATTTCAGTATAAACAAATTTCAAATTGTAAACGATAAATGTGATTCAATAGTCTGCGATGGGATACAACTGAATCACCATAAGCTACGGTCCTCATTATCACCAAAGCTTTTTAGCTTTTTCTTCTCTTCTGGTTATCTGTTAGGAAAATCTTCAGGGTGAGAAGCCTGCAGTTCTTGGATGACGTCTAGTTGATTTTATAGATCCACCAACGTAAACTACAAAGATATTTTCAAAGCGGGTCACAAAGGTGAAGACACGAAAGCTGTGATGCAAATGCAAAGATAGTCATCGCTGCAGTGGCTTATGCTTCATTGGGTTACACCTCAGTGTCACTTCCTTGGGATTAAAAGTATCCCCAGACCTCTTTAAAATGTCCTGAGCCCTGCCAATACAGAAACAGAAGCTTGCTACTAACTGCAGAAAAACAAACATACATACACGTAAAACATAAAAGAAGTGAGAAGTTAGACAGGAAACGATGCATGAAGTATAATCCTTACAGCTCGAACTCGCTACACTAATGTTCCAGATTGACCACAGAAGATTATTTTTGTGTAGACCAAACCTCTTCTTTTAGAAGCTGTTTGTTTTTTTTCTGAACCCATTGTAAATCCAGCCAAGAAAAAAAATTATATGTTTCTTTTTTAACACAAAAATAACGTCGTGAGGCCATAACCACGAACATTCTCATCCTTTGGTACAATCTATTAAAGATGAGGAAGAGTACCTAACCTACTGTATATCTGCCCATACCACTAGACATAGAGAAATGTAAGTTGCTGTTTCCTACTGGGACCTACAATTAACAGAATATCATGAAGTGCATGTTTGGTTTTGATTAACTGGAGCAGTACTGCAACTTGATAATGAAAACATTAATAGCAGCAATACTTGCAACTTTGCTTAGAGTTTTTACTTGAATTATAAAATGACAGAATCCTCATGAACTCAAAATCACTGGAACAGAGGCATTCTATCACTTGAAAACAGTAATTGATGCTTTAAACCCCTCTAAGTCTGAAACACATGACTGTATAAAATGAAAATTAACAACGTGCACTGAGAAAATCTATAACATGTGCATAAAGGTTCCAACCATCTGTAAAACCTGATAGAGCTTCATCAAGTTTCACATGCGTTGTGTTACAAAATAGATTAGAAACGGCTGAGCACCCAAAATACAAATCAGATGTTAGGCTGCAGCCTATAAGACATCAATCAGATAATTAAAGTATTATCACTATAAAACTTCACCAGCCCCATAAAGTCCACATTCTTCTTTGTAGACACAATTCCAGGTTACAAACACTTGAATTACGCAAATCTGACTTTATATAAAACCACTGTAAATTAATTTGAAAAATCAGATTTGCAATCTTTTATGAATTCATACATGTAAGTGGAAACTGCTCACAGCTGTGTACTGTTTCCTTAAATAACTTCCCCTGTTTAATCCATGATATTTAATTTTACACACAGTCTATTTACTCTATGAGTGAGTTTTTTCCATTTTATTATATAATGCAGGGTATTCATTGCATTACCAAATGTTCATTTGAGCTGAGCAGGTCATAGTAAGGGAAGGACATTTACTGCCATCAAAATATTAAATAGTAAACATTCTAAGGGGTAAAGAGTAAAACTCAATTTACAGAATGGTTTCCAGAACAGAACTCAATTCTGAACAGAATTCAAACTCTCAGTCGCTGTATACCGTATACACACTGGGAGGGATACCTTATTTCTAGTTTGACAGTGATTCAGTTATCCTAAATTCACTTTGCTTGTGTCTCATAAATCTCTATTAAAAGACCAAAAAGTCTAAAAGTAAAAAAAAAAAAGCTACAAAATGCAACAGAAACTACAAACTGTTACTTTCTAAGAATGTTTAACACTGTCAAAAACCTAAATTTTAAAAACATTACCCACACTGCCTGCAGACAGTATCAGAGCATGTATGCTTCATTACTGGCTGTAGTGAACACTACACTTCACATTTTTTTACATACAATAATAATAATATGCTAACAATAAAAAGTTAATGTCTACAAAGCATTTCAGGAAATACGTGAAAGATTAATTTCTCACTGATAAATTGAAATATGAGAGGTGGCCTGTTCTAAATACAGAGCAACTGAGGGACTGGCTCATCAGTTTGAGAGGTCTCAGTTTGAGAAGTGTGTGTGCACTACACCGCGAAGGTAAATGCAGAGAGAATGTGCACGCTGCATGTGGTTCACGCGTGATCCCAGAGCGCAAACACGTGACCCCAGCACGCCCAAGAGCGAGACCGTAACTGGGAAGCCAACGGATTCAGGAGACAGCTGCAAATTCAGCCTGGTAACGTGAGACGGCAGATTGGTTGCCTTTCCTTCTACAGTATACATCAGATTGACTCGATCACTGCCACTGGACTGCAGCTACACCCCCTGGTGTTTATACACAGTGATCTCATACACAGTATTTACAGGATGGCGTATATTGTACATCTTTCTGCTGTCTACACATAGAAGTGCTTTCAGGACAGATTCCAACGGCATTACAACTCTGTAGCCTGGTTTTGTCTAAAGCAATGCTTCAGCAAGGTGATTGGGGACAGAGAATTGGATGGACACATGGTCTTTAAAGATACCAGGTCATTGTAAGAGTAGGAGTGTTAACCACAGTGCCCTGACCTCATTACACTTTGGGCCAGTGAAAACATTTTTCTCCTGATTTCAATGAAGTATTACTACAAGTCTGCATTGAAAACTAACGATGATGACTTCATAAGCAAAAAAAAAAGCAAAAATCATTTTTATTTTATTCCACAATAAACACTGTCCTCTTCTTTTGTGCTTCATATATTACAATGTTTACTCACTACAGTCAAGCCCATTGCACAAGCCTACCTGGAGGAAGTATACACTTACCAGCTGCATTGTCCACAGACATTTCCCAGTGTTCAATGAATTAAAAGGACCTGAAAATGCCAGCTCCTAGCTGATATTAACAGTCACTTGTATCACTTGCAAATGCCAAATGTTTATCTTTAACCACAGAACACGAGGAAAAAATAAGTCCGACTTTAAGTTTAAATCACATTATTGGCATCACTTGTAGAAATATAGGCAGTTAATGCACACTGTCTGGAGGGGCTGGAAGCCGTGTGGTCATGATGTTCTAAGTTAAACACAGACAGGAAACCACATGTCTGCAATTGCAGGCAAACCCTCTTCCAACATGTTACAGCTCCCTGCTCCTCTGAGCTGTTTTCGTTAAAGAGCTGATAACGCATCACAACAAGTGATTGTGCTATCGTTTCGTGGTGCTGTATCACCCCAGAAGCAGATCTAATGAAAACAACTACTTTGGCAGCAGTAATTTGCTTCCATACAATAGTTTCATTATACAAAGCCCAGCTCTTGTTAAAAAATACAACTTCTTCACTTATGTAAATCTAAATCTGAAAGCAAATTTTAGCTTGAAGAAAAAGATCTGTTTTCAGCAGTTTTATTATCTTCATGAAATTCAACTCATTCCTGTCCAGAAAAATTTAACTCCTTTAGCAGCAGTTTCCACGCAAGGGTATGGTAACTACAACGATTTTCTGAAACTCCAGTCAGTGTGGGAATGGTCCTAATTCTGTAATCATCTCTTTTATGAAAAGTTAATTCTACTGTACATACTGTAAAAAGCAGAGCAGTGCTTCTGCCGAAACCTTCATGATTGACTCACCTGGTGAAAAAATAAGCTTATTGTTGCACTCTTCTTCGGTACAAGAACACACATAAAATAGCGAACCAGGAAACTTCTTTTCTTTCATATAACATTTTGTGGAATTGTAGTCATCCAGAAGTAGCCCATATATTTTTTCTGCTGGATCATGACACAGCGTCTCAATGGTTACATTGTTATCATCCTTCCTCCTGAAAAGAGACAAAAGGTTAACCATTGGAGACAGGATTCATAACCACATGAGTACTGTGGAAATTTTTTAAATGACATGAAGCCTGTCCCTCTAGCTCATTTCATGGTTACAGGTTAATTGATCTGAAGATCTGATCCAGCCATTGCTGGCTTCAACAAAGTGTGGATACTGCTCTTAGTTTTAAATGCCCCACCCAGTAGGATTTCATTCTATATACTGTATATTAATGTTTATGATTACTGGTGGTTTACATAGATACAGGCAGAAAGTGCACCTAATTTTAGTGTTTTTTTCCACCCAATTTGGAAGAATATAAATTCTGATCTGCATCAGCAATAACATTCATACTCTCAAGAACAATAAAATAATAAGAAGTAACAAATTAAATGGCTTTAATTAAGCAACTCGAAAAGATCAAATACCAAATGCTCACGCAGACTTCTTGAGGTTTCTCACAAATTGCTGTTTTGCTGCAGTTGGAGAAGCAGTTACTTCTTCCATCACACGTTGAGGGCTCAAAATCACAAAACTTGCACAGCAAATGCAGCTTGAATGGATCCACTGTCCCACCTGAAAAAGAACAAAAATAAAAAGTTCAGGTGTGTAGCTGCGTCAGCATGCGTAGGCTGCAAAGGAACAAGTAACAGGTTTATTCCATGCTGAAAAAAAGAAGAAAGAAAACACAACGTTCTTCAGGTGTCAACATGATATTGATCTTTTCGACACCTGAAGAAGGCTCCACGGCTGAAACGTTGTTTTCTTTCTTCTTTTTTTTCAGCATGGAATAAACCTATTACTCGTTCCTTCAAAAATAAAAAGGCTTCATTCACATATTGTCTTTATTTATTGATTCACGTACAATAACGCAAAAAAGCCCTTCTTAAATGGATCAAATTGCTACAAACTGGCTCTAGCATTATCTTAATTGGCCACCAGATCCGTTACACTTTGCACTTCTTTCACAAAGGGCCGATGGGGAGGGATAATCTCTATACCCGTGAGAAGGAAGCAGATGTCAAGACACTTGAAGAAACAGTTTTAACGAGACCCTTGGTTCAACAGCTCACTAGCCAACAAATGAGCAGAATGGGCCAAAAAGCTTCCGCCCATCGGCCCCTCTTCCCATTTCTAAATCATAGTTAAAACCAAAGATAATGACAATATCTGGTGCTTGTATGACATATTCATGATGAAACCTGAGCACAGCAATGCCAGGAGGCACCAGCACCTGCCAGCGGTATTTCTGGAACGAAGCCGAACCTTGAAATAAATTCACCATGGTGGGACTGGGGGGTATTGATAGGATCGTCCCGAATGCTTACACTTGCATTGATTTATGCCCCTGCCAATCGGCACTTCCTGTCCAAGTGCTGCATATGTAAAAAAGCCCCTGATTACATTTTTCTGCAGGTCTCCATGATTGTGTGTACCTGTGAGCCTAGCTGGCTGTGCTGGGCCCCCCAGTCCCTGCTGCTGTCATGCTGTCAGGGAAGGATCGCTGTAGAACGTAACTCTGTACCACGGGTGCCAGCTGCAGAGACAGTCATGCACACCCAGGCCGGACCATGCTTCACAGCTGAGGTGGTCTTCTTTGGAACGTACAGTATGCAGTTCCTGTCTTTCTCCAGACCATACATAAGCTTTTAAACTCTCCGAAAGGTTGCCTTGGTCCCATTGGTCTGTACAACTTTGTTCCAAAACTGTTCCTGCTCGCCTCTGCACTTTAACAAAATCTGAAGGGGTGCCGGAGGCAATGTTAGGGCCTGGGCTTGTAGGCCACCTGTGGACCGGGCTCAGATGTCTTTTCTGTGAGGTGCAGTAACGGATGGCTACAGAATGTAATCTGAACTCTACAGAAATCTTTCGCCTGCTCATGTAGAAGGAAATGCTTCCATACTTATTTTGCAGAGCTTGACCAAGCTGCATGAGAATGACCCAAAATATGTTGCTAAAGAAAACGACAAGCTCATCAAGAAAAAAAAAGTGGAAAATCTTAGACTTACACTAGTCAAGGCAATGTCCAGACTTCAATCCAAATGAGCATGCTTTTTGCATGCTGAAGGAAAAACTGATGTCAGAACATCCCGAGAATTGGCTTGGCAGAGCATCTCAATAAATTGCACACAGAGCTTGATGAGCTCAATGGGTAACAGACTGCATGCAGTTATTGCCTCAAAGGGATGTGTAACCAAATGACAGAGCTCAAAATTACTTTTAACCAGTTAGAATGTGATATATAAAATGGCGCACACTTTGTTTTTGTATAAATAAAGCTATAACAATACTCTATTCATCATTAATAAACCGTCAATTGAGGTACTGCAAAAGGTTAAAGAAGCATTCAAAGATATTACATACTGATGATATTATGTCAAAGTTAATATCAGGATTAGCTTTAGGGTTAGGGTATGATTAAGTTTAGGATGAACTGTGTAACAACAGAGACTTTATTGACATTCTGTAGAATCTTGACTGGTTTTAAATGTATTATTTAATATCTATTATCTATTAAACTCCGATTTATATAATTTAATCTACAGCATGACCATGAAATGCATGTTTGTGTATGTCTCATGATCAGCTTTAGCAAAATATTTTACTTAATGTAGCTATAGATCCCTAATGGAATAACTTGGTAATATGCAAATGTACTGAACCTGAAGACAAAACACATTATACACCTGATTAGATATAACCAGACTCTTTTCATTGCTCAAATAAACAATGGGTCCTTGAGTTGTTACAGAAAAAAATTGTAGTCTAATCCCAAAATCATACAAGCAATAATGTTACATAGTTAACTGAATGCAACAAACTGGATTTAAAATTACCACTTGCTGAAAAATGCAATCTCAGTCCATTTTAAGTAATGTTTGAAGAAAACACTCTAGGCTCCTTACAATACTTACATTGTTACTTTACAGGTCAGTACATGTCTCAAAATAAATGTCCTGTGGCTTTTTTCCCCACTGTGATCAACACACAGATAACATATCTTTGAAGAATCTTTCACCATCTTGCTGTAACGCTACAGTGCCAGCACTGCGCATCAACATTCCCTTATTATGAAAGAAATGTGAACTGCTTTGTGTTCAGCACAAATCCCCAAAAACATTCTTCAAAAGGTTTTTAAATTGCCTGAACAATAGAAAATCCCATCAACGTGAATACTCTGACCTCAGTTCTGCAAGGCTGATACTGGCTATCACTTCTTTATCACAAAAAGCCTTAAGACGCAAAAAAATGTCCTTTCATCTGCTACATCTGTCCTCCAAGGTCCCACTTTGTCCCTCATCCTACTCCTAAACCAACACTTGCGTAAGGAAGTTCCAAAGGCCTTGAGCTCCATTACAGCACGAGGGGGAAGATGTCTAAGCCACTGCAGCGAGATCAAGTATCACTGCTAACTCAGCCATCAAGTGTCACTGAAGTTTAGAGTCCATGACATTCTTAAAAACCGTCTTTAGCAGGCTGGCTCTATAAAGGCAATTTATTTTGGAAAACTCTTCATGGGCACTGGTCTTGAAGTAGCACGAGACAGGAAAAAACAAGAAAAAAAATCACTTCGCAAGGAGACGGTAGATCCGGAACGATTTGTCTTTATAAAATGTTTATTTTAAAAATAAAAGTATTTTTGTGTTACTCATTTTCTCCCCGATTGCATTGTAGGCTTCTCCTAAAGTACTATTTTCATACAATTCTTTATTTACCCAGGTGAACTAAGACACAGGTTTCTTTTACAATGACAATCTGGAAACCCACTTTTACCGGAGTCGGGCGATTACTGGAGTGATTCTGAGAGCAGCAGTATCCCAACATCCCCACGAGCCTCCTGTCACAAGTCCAGAGGCCTAGCCACTGCTTCACGACGCCTGCCAGCTTTATCTGTCTCACGCTGAACACTTTCATTAAAGTGCGATTAGTTTGCTTTTCCATTTTCCAAACTGCATATCACTCTGTTGCGAAACTCAGTGAGACGACAAGAATAGTAACAACACAGCTAAAAAACTTTTTATCACGCATCAAATAGTGTGTTCGTGTAAATTCACTTTACTGTGGGGCTGCTCCATGGCCATTATCCTGTGATACGTGTATCTTTCTGATAAGCTGTACCCTTGTAGCCACTGTTGGACTACTGGAAACCTTGAACTGCAAGCTTAACAACTGATACCACAACAAACCTTTGCACAAAAGACAAACCACTTCTGAATTACAGCACGTACCGTCTTAAAGTGCCAGAATATCCCACCCTCAACGTTATTTGGTGGAATTTAACACACAAGCACAAACCGTAAATGCCAAAATCAAAGTCTGGCAAGGCAAGAATTAATACACACAGCATTATCGGCTATAAGAGGTCATGGTTGGCTTGTTTTCAGCTTTGTTTCTGTTGCTCCTCTACAAGTGGATAACTAAAACCTGTGTTTATTTGGAATAGGAGACCCATGACAGCCCTATGGAATGCAGGTTAGACAATTCCTTTTCCTGTGCCAGGGCAGTTACCGTGTTTAGGCTCAGTGAAGGGAAACATTTTTTAACGCAACACGATTTCATCTGACAAAAAAACCTATCAATGTTTCTTGCAATTGAAACTTAGTACTGGCATTTCTGATATGGAGTACAAGCAGTCTAAGTAATAAAGTATCATAAGATAAAAATAAAATTTTCCCAGGAAAAGTGAATTATACCTTTAACTTTTTTGAACATTTTAATCTCCAAAGCCTTCTCATAATTCATAGTGTTATGTGTAGACATACAGACTGGTGGTAAAATATAGGCAGTTTGAGCTCTACATACCTAAATAGCAATTTAGTGTTCTCAGCAGACACATGCAATTTTAGTGTTAACACAAGCTACTAATTCTCCCAGCACTAAAACTTCAGCGTTCACACAGCTACTCAAACATTTTTATATTTAGCCATATTGTATGATAATTGTTATGTGTAGTCGATGTGTTAAATAGGGTAAATTCTAATATTTCAAACAAAATCAAACACATGTCCTGTGTGTTTAAGAAAGCTCATTAAGATCGATGTGAACTTCACTCTTTATCTTTGACTTGAAAGGATATCCCCTAAAACCTCAAAAGAGACAGAGTGTAAGTTTGGCAACAGGTTTGAACATATTTTGAGTAGAAGCTTAACGCCAGCGGTGTAATGGGAAAGCAAATCTAAATGAAGTACTACAGATAGATCATTACTGCTCCCCCTGTGCCCCAAGTAAGGCTACCGTAATTACACAGGGGACCTTATCTTTTCCCACCTCCCTGTACTGGTACTGGAAGATTAGTGCAAGGCTCATGCTGTCATGCTGTTGAGCCAGATATAAAAATGGGATGCGTTTGATATTCATAACACTTAATTTGACTCCCGACATCATGATCTGTGGATTTGACTCAGGATGGTGAATTCACTTTGCCATCACAAGGCCAGAATAATATTACTTTCCTTAAAAACAAAAATAAATCTGGATAGTTACATCAGCATCTAACTGTGCCGTTGGAAACCAAACAATCGTTTGGACTGAAAAATATCCATCAAAAGGCCTTATGGTATCCAGAAAAACTGGCA